CCACTTATTATGTTTTATGTATACTTATGTCTTTTACAGCTTGTTACAACTTACATGCTGGGATGGATACTGTTTTAACTATTGAATCCGTTATTATTTTTACGATTCGAAAGGATTATGGTATTTTTAATTTCGTATTTTGTAGTCTACAGTATATCCAAAATGTTCTATAAAACACCGACTGAATTAAATTTTCTTATGACAAAAAAGGTACTATAAAATTAAAATAAAAGCTACAAGTAGTAGAAGTGCAAAAACACCGAGTAAGAATTAATGGATAGGACATTCTATAAATAAAAGCTCGTTTCAATATAAACTGTCTGTTAGTTTTGTTCACTTTCCAGACCTAATTAAACTTAATGTTCTTCTCTCAGTCAGCATTATCGCATTATTTTGCGCCTGGTTGCTTAGCAGTATTCTGCCTTGTTTATTGTAAGGACCAATTTCTTTTCCCTTATCTTTCCCGTTATGGCGAAGAAATCTAGATCTTTTAATTTTACTTTTGAACGTGAAATGTCGTTTCAACGAATAACAGAGTGAGATTATATATTGCAGGAGTATGTTTTTACCACTCTCTTCCTAGTTTATGCCATGACGTAGTTCGTTTTAGATACGTAATTATTGTGTAGTCAATTACGAGGTGTTATTTAACGTAAACCAAAAACAAGTTCTGTGAGACACTGTTTAACGACAAAACAAGCTTATATGTTGGTATCCTTGTTTTTATTTATTTCTGCCGATCAACTGATTTGCATAGTTGTCTATGAGGTTTAGTGTTATTGAGAATTTGTTGAAAATAAGACTCAACATAGTGTTTTTGCAAACTGAAATAGTGTAGGTAAGTATTGTAGGGCTAAGTTTTAGTGAATTTCCCACATAAGGATTAAGCTATTTTGGTTTTCTACAAATTCGATATCCTCAAGTTTTTGAACAGTCAAAAACCCCCCAGTTGTTTTAATACGTACTGAAATCACAACCGGAACATTAATTTCAAACCTTTCTTGGCACGAAATAAATAATTTATTTGTATCCTTCTCTTCTACAATACATAGAAAACCCATACTTAAAACCATACACATTGAAACATCTACTGCAACTGTGCTATTGTATTCGTAGTGAGAAGTTTTCAAAATACTGAATTTTGTAAAGGTTTGAAGGTAAAGCACTTTTATTTTTATTTTAACATAAAACAGTTTGAGTTGCAGTAGAGTAAACGGAAGAAATAATAACGAACAAACGTAAATACAAATGGTAACACGTAAAAAACACATTTTTAATAATTTTTCTCTTTCACGAATTCCAAAAACTAAAATATCAGTTAAAATAATCGAAAATGAAAATACTAGGATGAACACACCTAAGGAGACTCTGACGTATAATTGAATGCGATGTGATGTCTTGCCTTTGGGCACCCGCAGAGCGATTGTGAACACACGCGGAACTAACACAATATAAACATCATCTGTGCGACAGAAATGTGTTTCCACTTGAAATATTCCAATTTCGGTTTATATTGATTTACTTACAAATATAATTTGCGATTGAAAATATCACTTTGAGAAGATTTTGTTTATATGTTTCGGATTTTGCAAACTGTTTGGGGTGAAATGGAAAGATACGTAAGTTTACAAAAGTGTGTGGCATTAATGTAACTATAATACTTTATGTGTTACGATAATACAGGTAATACATCCGATAAAGGTGATACTGTAATTCATACGATAATATAGGTTATCGAAATAAAAATCATGCATGCAAAGACAACTTACAACAAAAGTGTAAAAGTGCAAACTTTGAACATAAGAATATAACATAAAAAATTAGAAGTATTTAAATTGAAAACAAGTGAACAATTCAATACCAAAAATCAAAAATACATAAGCAGGAACAATACAATACTGTAGTAAGTAAATAATTCAAATAGAGACAACAATCGATATATCCATTGTACTTTTTGTATTCCTATAACTGAGTTCGGCAATCCTAGTTAATATTACACTTGTTTAAATATATTTTTGTTGTTGTTCGAATAAAAACTCATTCCGGACGATAAATGGAAATTATTGTTTTAACATAAATTTAAATTGTTTACACATATCCGTTTAAAGTATAGGAACAATGTAGGTGTAAAACAGTAATTGTTACAAATTCTATTACTTGAGATAGCATGTATGGATTAGCACACATGGTTAGGAGATGTTTATACAATTATAACGTCACATTGTCAAAAAATTAGTATACCTTTTATTTGTTCTTTGTGTGACTTTATATAAAGTATTATTCAGTTTGTTGCTGCGACCTATAAAAATGTATCAACATTATTAATGCGAATATTCAATACAGTGTTACTATTTGATTCATGGGAGTTAAACTACTTGATCGTGTAACAAAACACAAATAAAATAATTTGTAAATTTTCACTCCTCTAAAATAACTTTAAAGTATGAAAACAGGATAAATTTTTAGTATTTTTCCAACAGAAATCTAAACATTCTTCACTCTAGAGTTATAATACGCACCTAGGTGGCGTCCCCATCTCAATTAATAATGATAATAATTATGAAACGCTGTTCGTAATAAAAGTTAATAATACATGCAGTAGCTTCTTAATTGCACTAAAATAATATTTGTGATCATGGTGAAAAGCCAAACAACCATTGCTGTACGACAGTAAGAACAAGAAGAAGCATATTAAACGTGATAGGGTACATCTGTACTCAATGCAGATAATCAAGCAGTCGCCCATGGTAACGCGATGGGTAGCGCCTTCAATGAATAGCTGCAATTGATATGCTGCAGTAGTTTTGCATGCTCTGGTCGTACGGCGCGGCCACAACCAAACATGCGTTCTCTGCCGCTGAAGCACTCGTTTAATCCAATGTGTTAATCTTTATCTCAATTTTTGATTGGATGATTTAACTGCTAATGAATGGTTTTTGATGTACGTTTAAATTGTATGTCGGATTCTCTAATAGTAAAGGATAAAAGATAAATTCAATTTAATTCAATAATAACATTAAAAAGCTACTTTGTCGATGACATTTTTTTAAGATTTACTATTAGTATATCAGCTTTGCTTGCAAACTCAAATACAAACTTTTATTAACTGTAATTTTCAATGAATTTCTTCAACACATATATTTTGATACTTTCAACTAAACACCTCTTAAAAAGAGTTTTGATATCATAACACGAGTATCAGTCCTAAAACCTTTGTTGTATTACATTTTATTTAATCTTTTACCCACCAAATAAATCCCCAAATATACTTGAACAAGGCCTGAAGTTTCTTTTTGTTTCAATTTAATTACGAATACTTGTCAGATGTCTGTCAGTTGAAGGAATGGACGAACGAAAGTAATTGAATTTTTAGTCTGAAACATCGACGAGGCAATTAATTCGATGCAGAGTGCAATAAATAAAATACAAATCTTTAAAATAATTATGGCTCAAATTTAAAGTTTATCAGTAAACCTTTATTGCACGTATCATATTGTACTTGTTAACAGTTTTTGTGTTTATTCTAGTAACAAGCAGCTAGAATATTTCTTTTGTTTTAGTCTATTGTTCCAAAATGCAAGTATGCACTTCTAAGAAAGAAATGTTAAAGGTTTATTTTAAAGAATAATACAAGTTCTACGTGGGCAAAAATACCTAAAATTTTGAATATGCTATGTTATCGTTAGCTACGAGTTACAAAAAATCTACAACCGTTTGTGCAGTTTGGTTCAAAAATTAAGGACACATTTTTACATTTTAAAATCTACTTACTATTTCAGCGCCTTAATTGTATTTCCAATTTTTAGAGTTCTTGTACTTTGACTCCATCGAGTGCACGAAAGATGTAATATTTAACATTCATGCTAAACCTTTTTTAAATATTTAACACTTTATTTTAATGACGAGTTAAATTTAAATTGGAAATTAATAGCGACATGGCTGATATTAAGTTGTTATTAGTCCATTAGTATAATATAAAGAAGCGGGTGCAGTTTATTTAAGTAAAGCAACTGACTGAATTTTCCCTCCAAAATTGATGAGGATCCCGCGGCAAGCCGCCCATGTATCTTACCCCTTGATTAATGTCTGGCCTTAATTAAGAATATCAGGGTTTTCCTCACATAACTCATCTGGATAGTTGTGCAGCTTTTGTAGTATTTAAAAATTCTAAGTTGTTTTTATGTTTTGGTAGGTAAAATGCAAATATCCCGGACATGAACCAAGCAACATACGTTCTGGTGAAAGTTTATTTAATGTACTTTACATCAATTTTTATTTGTACCAAGAAGGATCTCTAAGTAACATCCATAGTCTTAGACGTTTTGGCTTATTGTTTATTTATTTATTTGTTATTTTACTTCCAAATGTAGTGAAAACCAAAGACCCTTGAATTTGTATTTCTTAAAAATCGCTATTGAGTTTGTAAGTTCAATCACATAACATATAATTTTATAATGACGAGCCCCTTAGACAAATTCCCTGTGATGGGAAAGTGTAACTTGACACTATCTGTGTTAATACAATATCCTATGTGAACCTAAACTTTACTTACTGTACCTCAGAAAATCTATTATTAAGGTTACTAGGGAGTCATTTGAAATTTGAATCAACTAATATGGGGGTTCTATTTTTTTTATCTTTAGTTATGTTTTGTCAAAAGTCGTTGTATGATGCAAAGTGTATTTTGTACAGAAATTATTACATTTCACGCTAAACCAACGCTTTATAATCATCACTAAATAGCTAGTAATATTTTATCTTCCGTTACATATTTTAAGTAGTTTGAAACTGTTCGAGTAAATAGTGTATGGTTGACTTGAAATATTTGAAAGGTGTTTTTAAAACATTATGGAATAGCTTTATGGATACACATAGGTATGGATCGCAGCGCAGTGCCATTGATTTAACTCATATAACTTGGTTATTAACTAAATATTTTTCACTTTATTGTATTTCTATTTTCACAAATTTTCTCTACAAAATATCTTTTTTTGTTGCAGAATTAGATGTCTCGATCAGGAGGAAATTTAAGGTAAGATAAACATATAATCAATCTAACATTTAAGTTGATGCGTATTGTTATAATGTTAACTGTTTCTGTTGTGGACTGTTAAATCTTTATTTACCGCAAATTGTTAATTTGTTTCAATTTAAGCGGGTAAAGTTATCCTTATTATGCATTAAGTATATAAATAAAAAAAATAATATGATAAATTACGTAGTATGTATTTTACCGTATCATTCGTTTTATTTAAAACAGAGTAAAATTAAAATACCACAATCATTTTCGACAAAAAATGTTCATTACATTTTGCATGGACATGTTGATCTACGTGTATCGTAATAATTACTAAATTTAAAATTTATAAGAGTGTAAAACAAAAATATTGTTTGTACGGCCTATGTGGTGAAAAGCGTTAGTTATTTACAAATAAAACAATCGCCAGTAATGTGGTGGTTTATCTCCATGAGAAAATAAAAGCTTGTTTATCATCAGCGTAAAGCGACTCGTGGTTGTAAAACACGGAAAGTGAACTTGTTATTGATCTCTCAGGGGTCGTGGTGGGTGAATTATGTAAAAGATTTCTCTAAGGCTTTATTTATAGGTAATTCTTATAAGAATGCGCAGTAACATGTGGTTGAAGTAACGTTAGTTTTAAAAGTAAAATTAAAAGATTACAGTTGGTTTTGATGGTTATTGTCGATTTGACTTTCTCTGGAGATTAAAGTAATAAACCCTATTTATTTGTTTAATAAATACGTTAAAAAAATGTAATGTAACAAAGCTAGAATCCTTTTGTTGAAGCTAGTATTTTTTTGTTGAAGCTAGAATTTTTTTTGTATACAAAAGTTTAATGAGGTTAAAGAAGAGAAAAAAAACTCTAAAAACTCCTTTTGTATTTATAAAACACAAATTAAGTGAGTGTCTAGCTTCTAAGAGTTTTAATTATGTAACCTCCAGCTATTTGAAGACGAATACAACTTTCAGAAACAAAACATATGAAGTTCAAACTACAATATGATTACGGAGCTGTTCATAGTAAACACATGATACACACAAGAGCGTTCGTTTTCAGTTTCAATAACTGGAGTAGTGATTGATTACATATCTTTGAGTTAATTGTTTTAAGCCATCAGAAATTATGACTGTTATTCGCTTTGAAATAACGCCTGTAATACTTTTCAATTGCTTGAATTCGAGCAACAGGGACACTAGTTTTTTTTTAATTACCTGTTTTTAGCATGAGCATGTTTTTTTTACAACAATGATGAATTTAATTGCAATGCAACGATAGTTAACAGTTATTTTAAAGCATATTTGATGAGGAAGTTTGACATAATATTTGATACCCTCAGCGGAGCTCTGTAACTTAGAAAAGGATTCTAATATTTATCAAGTTTTTGACTTCGTTAAGGTTTTTAACTTTTACCATGTAACTTAAGTAAAATCTAGTTCAACACCACAATGTTAAAATATTATTTTCATCGTAAATTTTGTGAGGATTTCAAAAAATTGATTTTAACAATACAGGTTATCCTTACATAGTAATGTAAGGGGGTTTTCATAAAAACTACCATTATTTTTTAAATATTTTAATTTACATTTCATTCTCTTACTCTTTGAGTTAGGAACCTCTAATAGGCATAATTTAATCACCGTTAGTAGTTTTTCATATAATTTTATTTAATACTCATTACCGTACCCTGTATATGTTTTAATTGTTATTAGACGAATCTTGATATACTCTCTGTAAAATGTAATACTTAAAAATATTGAAAGTTTTTAACGAAAGCCGTGCAATTAATAAACAAACCTCTTAATATTGGCGATCTAATACAAACAAAATAAAATTACCGGCTTGAATTTAAATATTCGTTAGCTGAATTAATATTTTGAAACCGAAACTATAGTGGCATAAGTGAATGAAACACAAAGACCTTCAAAATAAGCCAGGATAGTTAGAAGATTCAAGCAGATGTACATTAAACTTTGAGAAGTATGATTGAGGCCAGTTGGCTAGATGAATAACCCTAAAGTTAACTGCTTCTGAAGTCGCATCTCTAACTGACTTTCTCAACTTCACCAGAGGGCGTGAGATAACTTCATCTTACTTCAATCTTGTACTATTTAATCTCACTTCAAACTTCAAATAATTCTCTGTCAACTCTGCAAAGGTCAAATCACGTATACTGTACATTTGTAAATGATGCATTTTCATGTTGTTTTTAATATTGGTGTAATTGCATTTAGTTTGTTGAATACTGTTTACTTAAGCACGGAAATGTAATTGACTGTAAGAAGACTGTATTCTTATACTACCACCCTACTACCGAGACTAATGAAAAAATAAAATAAACGTTTAAGTGAGGCATTTATGTATATACCTTTCAAAACATTAATAAAAGTTTTGTAAAATCTTTAGGAGTTTTTATAGAATCTAAATTAATGTTGAAAGTCCATATTGATTATACGGCTAAAAGATTTACCAAAGGAATATTTATGATAAACATGCTAAAGAACAGGGTAGATTTTAATATGTACCCTGAAATGCATTTATTATGCACATATAAATTCTCATCTCAGTTATGGAACAATTGTATGAGGAGGTAGTAATTATAAAAAAAAAACTTTTGTTAATGCAAAAACAATCTTAGAAAATTTACAATGTTGATTTTAGTACACACAATAAACCATTGTTTAGGCAGGCTAATATTTTAACTGTTCAAACAATGATATGTTAGACTTTGTATTTGCAAAAAATAGTTTTAGTAAAACAGACGTGAATGAATATGTACACATTACAACACACGAAACCGCCGCAATATTATATCTAGACAGTGTCGATACAGCACCATAGCTACTAGTTTTATTGTTATATTCAAATGTTACCTTATAGAATAAGATGTTTTAACTGTTCTAAATTTAAAATAGTACTTAAAAACTACCCATTAAACCTGTGTCCGGATAGAGAAGTAGACTTCATAAATTATGTTAAATTAAATCTTTGTCAACACCTTAGTTCTAAGACATTTCCTCGACTGTGCCATGCATGTGAACCAGTGTAACGGCAATAACGCATCCTTATTCTTATTAATCTGAATTTAATACTATAGAAAATGCGAAGCCAAAACATGACAATGCATGTAAAAACCAATCTTTCCTACAATTTTCTGAACAGCTTGTTTGATGGTAAAGGCCTCCGAGCTACGGCGAGCCTCAGGCAAAAAAGTTCGCCCTAATGTATCTCCACAAATTGGCCTTTTCAAAGCCACGTCCGGTTTTCTTGTGAGAACGGCTTTTCACTATTATTTCGTGTGTTCGCTTGAACGATGCGTTTCGGAAACATTTGTTGTGCATTATGTTTAATATTATGGAGATTATGTGTATTAGTTTTTGAAAAAAACTACGTATGGTACACTTGTACACGTAGTACACTTGTAATATGGAGATATTGTTTTACAATTTTGAACCTATAAAAAGCACTTCTTACAAGTGGTATCACAGAAAAATTTGCTCAAAATGAACAACTTATTTTGAACAGCGATTTTTTATTGACTGCTTACACACATTGTTTAAAACTTCTGTAAACAATATTTTATAAATGTCTTTGCAGCGAATATTTTGTAAATTATCTAAAAGGGCTAATTTATTAGTTGACTGGTCACAATGAAGGATGCTGTTAAATATTATTCTTGAGATTACTTTTTTTTTGAAATACTTAAAAGTATTTTTTAATGATTACATTACCTTCTAGTAGAATCGAATATGGACATAGTGTTTCCAGGTTCCACAGTTTCATTTTCGAGAAGGCCGCACTTTGTTTAACATTTGATTCTCTACATGATAAGCATTGGAACATTTAAATTCTTCTGATGTTTTATTTACAACAAAATCGATGTAATCTTAACAGAGATACCATGCAATATTAACACATGATTATTGAGCAAAGAAAGGTGAATGTTAAACATTTTTATTGAGTATAAGTCTTTATTTTATTTTATAATACTCGTACCAAGATACGAAATATAAAAACTCATCGCAGTCATCGATGTTCCTTAATTTTGGACACTACGGTTCGCTAGAAATCAACATTGATGTTTTATTACGTGTCGTAAAATACTAAAATACGCTCAAATCATTCTTCTTGTTTTAGTGGTGCTGTAAAACCTGTCCGTAGATCATAACAATGCTGCGAAATATGGGCTGGCAATTTATATTTTGCGTCAATAAGATATCATTTTTTCTTATAAACAATAATTTTTGGTTTATATAGAACAAATTCAATGATCAACGATTATCCACATAGGACTATTAAAAATTGTACTAATTTCATTGGTTTTTATAAAGCAAAATGAAAGATTTTTGTAAATAACACAGATTAATTACTAACTATAAACCCATTTTTCGATGTTAAACTAAAAATGATTAAACTTTAAAATGTTTAAGTACAGTATAGTAAAAATACTAACTATATTTAATGAAAAAAACACAAATAACAAAGTATAATTACGTGTTGAAATTGAAGTTATAATTATTAAATATAAAAGACTTGATTGACTTTTACAATTTTTTAATTATCATATATGGAAATGGGATGTAGTTTCCAAGTACACTTAACTTTATAAGAATCGGATATTCGTTAATTACCTCTGTAATAAACGTCATTTCTAGGCATTTCATTTATCAAACACGAAGTAAATAGTAATTAAATTACTTATTAGAGGTCGGATGATTTTAAACAATAACGTCTGACGGTAACAATTTATCTTTTCTTTTCTCAGTAAAAAGTATTAAAGTGCTTAAAACACTTAATCTTTCGATCCGTATTTTCAGTTGGTAAAAGAAAAGTTTAATTAGTTTTATAATTGACTCTTAATCATCTGCAGTGGCCTTCTTTGGCCTCTAGTTCTTGACGATTGTGTTTTATCGTGAATTCTTAACGATGAATTTAAAGTTTACGATTTGGGACAATAACATGACAATAACGGGACAATAATGATACGGTGAAATTGATTTTTTAAGTTAAAATT